TTTATGTTTTCTTTATGCATGTCCGTGAGAGTATGTAACAATGCTCCCTTCCACGTTTGTCTTTGATTTTGATTTTGTTTTGCATGCCGCCTGTTTTGTTAGCTGGGGCCCCCGAGATGACCCATTGATTAGCTAAATTTGGTTGCTTCATCTATATAGCCCACCGGACCCTGATCACCCGGAAGCTCAAGGGGTTGGAGGACATAATCTCTTTCACATCCGTCCATTGGCATTTGGGAGATCTGGGATGGCGGTTTGCAACCGCTGAGGAAAACCTGCCCGGCGAGAATACGGGGCCGGATCCCCATCATCAAGGCTTTGAGCATCTCAGGCAGATTTATTTTGATGTCGATCCGGAGTACAAAGGGCGGTTTACTGTGCCGACGCTGTACGATACGAAGACCAAGACGATTGTCAGTAATGAGGTATGTATGAAGCTCACTGCTGATGAAATGGATGTGAAAAAAAAAAAGGCTGTTTCGTCCAGGAAAGGCGGGAAGGAATGATGAGATCTGCGGGGCTGACCTGGGTAATTTTTCACACGATAGAGCTCTGAGATCATTCGCATGTTTTATTACGAATTTGACGATTTGTTGACGGAGGAGTACAGAAAGGTTGATCTGTTTCCGGAGCATCTGCGGAAGGACATCGAGGCGACTAATGAATGGACGTATAACGACGTGAACAATGGCGTCTATAAGTGCGGGTTTGCAACGTGAGTGGTTCACCAACTTACCTGCTCATAATCAGATACAAACTAGACGGAAGCCTAGATCATCCAAGATACTCAACTCCTGGCTGACATATGTATGACCTCCAGAAAACAAGAAGCATACGAAAAAGCAATAGGCCCCTTGTTCTCCTCGCTCGACCGCATCGAATCACACTTACAATCCAAGATCGCCACCAGGCCCTCCAAAGATACTCCTACATACTACTTCGGCGATACAATCACCGAAGCAGACATCCGCCTCTACACCACCATTGTCCGCTTCGACCCTGTATATGTCCAGCATTTCAAGACGAACATCCGCGACATCCGCTCCGGATATCCCGCCATCCACCGCTGGCTGCGTCACTTGTATTGGGATATTCCGGCTTTCAGAGAAACGACACAGTTTGAACATATCAAGAGGCATTATACGAAGAGCCACTCGCAGATTAATCCCTTTGGGATTACGCCTGTGGGACCAGTGCCGGATATATTGCCCAAGGATAAAGAGGTTGTGGCTGTGATGGCGGCGAGAGAGTAAATGTCAAGGTTTCTTTTTTCATCTCTCTCTTCTTTTATTATCTCTTTTATTCAAATTTGTTTATTTCCTTTTCCCCTTGTATTGATATGTATATTGATTTGTAATGATTCGGAACATGAGAGCTGTATATAAGTGCAGGAGGAATGGGCAGAATGAAAGCGCCAGGGCTAACCTGTGGGATATGTGTGAAGATCAGGGGTTCCTTGATAAGTTGAGACAGAGCTGGTGGGACTTATAGGGGTTATAATTCATATTGGTAACTAACTACTAATTTCCGCACTTAAACCATCTGTTAACTCCGTACATTTTACTTCTGACGTCACCCACACACACCTCCATCAAAACTACTATACGAGGATCAAATCCTAGAAGTTGATTCGCCTTTGTTTTGACTATGAGGGATCTGACCGGAAGGATATGGCCGGCCCATATTCGTCCGCCAATGATTCAATAGTTCGACCACGATCAATTATTAAGCAAAAAGAATAAGCGTCCAAAGTACAGAATCGTTCGCAGTAAACCGTGTTCTCAGGAGGCCGTGTTTAGCAGGATCGGAGGGATAATTGTCTATCCTGCTCTCTCATACGCTATGAAGGGAGCCGAGCTGATAAGTTCCCTGTCTCTTTATGCCACTACCCCTCATCAGCTACTGGTATATAAGAGCTATGTCTAGAAGCGCACGCTGTGGGAAAAAACCTCTCTCACTCACCATCTATATCATATCCTCCGTTAAACCAGCACGATGCCGTCTTCAATCCTACTCCAAAACGCGACCGTTATCGTGCCCAGCTCTAGAGCAGGAGATGATGCTGTTTCCTTGAGGGAACATTCCCTCCTCATCGAGGGCAACACAATTACTCGCATAGCTCCGCATGCAGATGTCCGAGCTCCCTCAGCCGATACGGAAATCATTGATTGTCGCGGCAAGATTGTCTCGCCGGGTTTCGTTGACACGCACCATCATCTCTGGCAAACGCAGCTGAAGGGCAGGCATGCGGATCATTCGTTGGTCGAGTATATGACTTCTGGTAGGTAGATATAGACATGGGCTTCTTATCTATTTCGGTTGCTGTTGCCATTGCGGCGGTGAACTACCTTTTGAGATATGAAATTTGCAGGTAGACGTTCTCGTTGTTGTGTTAGCTCAGCCCCGCCTATTATGAATTTGTATCCTTTTGTGTTTTCATGCTTGTGATGCGACATATTTTTTAGTTGAAGAATACCAGTGTATATTATGTGGCGATTCATAGCTAATTAGTCACATCTCCGGTCAGGAAACATGCAATGCTCCAACTATACGGCAGATGACATTTTCTGGGGCCAGCTTGGTGGTTGTCTTGCCTCCATCGATGCCGGCACAACCACTGTTGTCGACCACGCCCACATGAGCTACTCACCAGCGCATGGTAAGTCACCTCCAAATCCAAAAAGAGGATAGGGAAACTATGCCTGAAACCTCATACTTACCCCTGTTTAATCACCCAGTCGAAAACGCCTTATCCGCAACAATTTTCTCTGGTATCCGCTCGGTTTTCGGTTTCACTCCCACTATGAAAGTGAAATCATGGGATCCGCCGTTTACGCTGGACCAGGACATCTTGCCAGCTTGGGTGTTTGAAACTTTTGATAAGCTCGCCCAAAGGGGCCCCTTCGGTGACGGCCGCGTCCATCTTGGCTTTGCATTGGACCTGTTCTTCCTTCCGAAGGAAATGATTCTCAGTATATTTGACCGAGTAACAAAGGCTGGTGTGAAAACTATCACAGCACACTATCTGCATGGCCAGTATGGTTTAGTTATTCTTTTCTTTCCGCCCTTCCCTTTACTGCTGTACATGCCTTAGGCAATCATATAGTGTAAAATAACAATCCGCTCAACAAAAAAAACCCCTCTTCATCCCCACACAAAGACTACCACGGCACGTCCCTCGTCGACCTGCTTGACTCCTACAATCTCCTGGGCCCAAACATCATCCTCTCCCACGCCACTGGTGCCACCCCCGCCACGGCGCAAAAGATATCCTCAGCCGGTGCCTTTGTCGCCACTGCCCCAGAGACAGAGTCACAAATGGGCCAAGGGCTGCCCGTCTGTTTCCGCGACGACATGAAGGACCAATGCTCGTTGGGCGTCGACTGCCACTCCAACAATTCCTCCGACATGATCACGCAGATGCGTCTTGGGTTGCAATCTGCCCGCGCCATCCGAAACGAAGCGCTGATCCAGAAAGGCGAAACGAAACGCCTATCGTGAAGATCTCGGGGAGCGTTAGGGATGTGTTCCGCCTCGCGACGATACAGGGGGCCAAGGCGGTGCGTATGCATGACCAAATTGGGAGTCTGGTCGAGGGGAAAAGGGCGGACATTGTGGTTTTTGACGCGCTGAGCCCTGGGATGGTTTGTGCGGCGGAACATGATCCCATCGCGGCTATTGTACTGCATGCATCGATAGCGGATATTGAAACGGTGATTGTCGATGGGGTAATTAGAAAGCGGGGTGGGAAGCTAGCCAAGGTAGAGGTCGAGGAGAGCATTGCGGGGGTTAATAAAAAGGAGGTTGTGTGGACGGACGTGGCGGATCAACTTGTTAGGAGTCGGAGGGAGATTCAGGAAAGGATTGAGAAGATTGATCTGGATAAGGCACTTGAAGCGTTTCTTAAAATGTTTTAAGGAAATAGAAAGACTGTATTTTCGATTTCTTGCAAGGGTTTGATAGGCTCCAGAAGTGGTTAGTACCTCCTTCGCTTGCGCTGGAAGGGGTGAGAAAATGGAATGTAGTTTCTGCTGAAGCACACGTTTTTCTCAACGTCTATAAAGAAATCCGGAAAATATCAAGGGAGAATAAAAAATAAATGCAGTCCACAATATACTGAACCAGTCACCTCTTAAGTGAAGAGAGGTTGGCCAAGGTTAAGTACGTTTAGGAGAAAAATTGGAACGATGGTCCCCCGTACATAAAATTCAACAGGCATATGACCCAGAGCGAAAGAGAAAGAGGATTGCCGGATAGTTTTCGAATTGTTTTTATCTCCTCGTTTCCACAACATAGAGAAAAACGTTGTACATGGAAAAAAATTTGGGCAGTAAAAACTTAGGTCAAAGAAGTCATTCCAGGCCGTCCGCCAATCCTTTAGGTAATGAATCGCAATTTTGCCTACCGCTTTCTCTGTATATATCTCCAGACTTCGAGGTGGGAAATATAGTCGACAGAACTGTGATTTTGGTGCGAGAAGAAATCCAGATAAAAACAATGCTATATGTATACCGATGGAATGAAAATTCATGCGGTAGCTGAGGGTGCGCTCGTACATCATATGGCTATGCAATAGAGAGAAGAGAAAGGAAATCATAGGAATAGGTTTAGGATATTCTCTCATGGGAAAGCAGACAACAAAATATTGAAATTACAAATATTGTCTTCTTAGTAAGAAGAAAAGACCGAAGGCATGAAAAAAAGTGAAAGTGAAGGAAAGGGCGCAAAGGCGCGGCTTATGAGAATCCTAGGGGTATCAATGCATTATATGGCATGCATACATTTCAAAGTGATGTCTGTGAATTGGGGAGGTGGTTCATAGAGGTCCTTCGTATCCTGGGTTAAATAAAGACTGACATATCAGAAATTAGGGGGAAATAAGAGTAAGAAGATGGTAAGGGTGCATGGGTGGATAATTGGATGTATTACGCTAAACCCAATAAACGCTTCGAGTTTTCGTACACGACATAGCTAATCGACACAGACGGGGCGACTTTGAGCAAATTCGGCGTGATCCCTCTAAAGAGCCCGCGTAGCCCCTCCTGACTCAACGTTTTGCGCGTCACGTCGACAATGCCCGTATATGTAGGGCTGTGCAGCACGGTGCCCTGTGCCTGTAGTCGTGTGCGGAGAACATTCATAGGATAAACTATTGAAGCACTCAGGGCACCGCTAAAGGCTCCGATAGCACCAGTTGCGAAATTGCTAAGAGGTACATCGTCCTCATGGCAGTGGTATAATTTAGCTTTGCGAGCTAAAAGAATCGATTTTAGGTATTCAAAGGTGGTGAGGTCGATCGCCGCATATGGGAACATTCCAATCAATCCCAGTGGCAAGCCGCGGAAGAAAGAGTGAAATCCGTTACTGGTCCACATCGATTTGGCGGTGGCCATTATGAGGCGGTTGCCTTGTAGTCCACCTTCAACCACTTCACATTGCATGCGACTAGCGGAATAGTAAGTAACTGCATATGTGCTGGGGTGGAAAGGAATTTATGGGAGAAAGGCAGATAACTTACAATTTAAGCGTATCTAAAGGATAAACGAAACATCTAAGACAGTAAGCAACTACCGGACCCGTCGAACCTGGAACGGACATACTGGGAAACCATTCCTCCGATACCACCCGCAAGGAATTGTGAAGTTGGAAGCAGATTCTTTGTGTCGCCGTGTCCTTCGAGGTTGGCAAACATGCGTTTTGAAGCCTGAACTAACGTAAGCAAACCACATATATCAAAAAGGAATCAAGTAGCGAATAATGGCTCCTATCTTACCTCATATGCACCAAACTTAATCGCGGATTCGGGCATAACTTTCACCACGTTCAAGCCGTTCCCTATAAAGTTAGTGAGACTATTTTTAGCTCATGTTGAATAACAGAAATGAGGCATTCCTCCACTGTACATACCGGCAAACAAACTCCGTATCCCTCCGGCGCGCCATAGATCCTTGGTGGCTTCTATGAGCGGCATGCCTACTCTCTTCAAAGCTTCCAGAGGGTGGCCGGATTTTGCTGCACTAAGAGCGGTATCCCTAACGGCGGTCTGGGCGATAAGATATACTTTCAAACGATCGAGGGGTGCAGTAGCTGTCCTTGATACGCAACCCGCCATTCCACCCGCAAGGAAATAACCTATGTGAGGGGTGCTTTCCGTCAATATTTGTAGGCTAGATTGATACCACAACCATAGCGAGACGGCGGTTGGAAGAACAAGCCACTCCAGCTCATCGTCAGTGAGAAAAGGAGCTGTCTCCAGGCTGTAGTAGTACTTATGATGCGTGGGCTGAGCCTCAGGACCTAATTGGGTCACTGCGTTGTCCGACAAGGAACTTGGAAATGTTGGGAAGGGAATTTGATACAAGCCGGGTGGGATTGTGTTTAATAAATCGGGTTCTGTACCTGAGCCTTGAAATGGTTCGTTTATGTGCACATCTCCTTCTGAGTTTAGGTTTCCAAGAGCGCCGTAATACGATATTAAACCGCCGAGGTTAGGGGTGCCGGCGGGTAGAAAAAGGAGGAAATCTCTGGTTGCCAAGTAGATTTAGATATAGTGATTCAATCATGGAGACAAGAGAACAGAGTATTAGACAATACCTCCATTCATCGAAAGTGATTACACCATCCTTGTTGGTATCGACATGGATAAAGAACTCGTCCAACTTCTTCTTAGGGATAGTCAAGCCAGCATTCGCAAACGCAGTTCGTAACTCTTCCTTGTCAAGGTGTCCATTACGGTCATGGTCAATGGATTCAAAGAGCCGCCAGAGCTCCTTTTCAGCACGTTCGACGAAAGCGCGGAATTCTAGAAAGAGGACAATTCAGCCCAGTATTTCCCGGCCGAGCATGCTGAACCTGTATTGATGGCCGTACCGTTGAACTGTATCTTCCCATCCCCGCTAGTATCCACATGTAAAAGGACGTCTTCCACCAGGTCATCTGCGTTTTTAAGAGCTATGTATAGGTTAATATATGGGTAACTAGTTCAGAGAACTTATGAGAACAGACCGCATGAGATAAAGGATAAAACAGCTTCAAAGTGGTCGATAAAGGGCGAGGGGTAGAGAGAAACGTACGGTGGTCCATTTTCCTTAAACCCTTTTTAAAGCCCTTGAGGTCTACTTGGCCCTCGTCGTGAGTATCTAGGGTTTCCCATAGCTTCGCAACCCGTTGGTCACGGTCCCGCTGCGAGTCTATTCCCATTTTTTGACAGCAACCAACATATCAGGTAAACATCTATTTTCAAACTTCCCGCAAAAGATGCGGGTGCAGTGCTGCGCTAGCAATAATGGGCTAAACATCAGAGTAAAAATATAATGAAAAAAGACATGCAGCACAATGAACGCGGTATTACCGCTGGAGCTCATGAATATAGCATCATCTGGAGGTTTACCGAGCAAAGAAGTCAAGTTGGCGCTAACTAATATCAGGTCGCTGATTTGCCGGTCCAAGCGAGCGCTTAACACCTCCACCCTTCAGCAGGGATCACAATTCCAACCTGGCAATAAGGTGACGAGGAGGTGAGAGGAGCGTTACTCTTTAATATGACGCTTAATGCGTATCAGTATCATGAATATGTGATGATGCAGGCGCAACTTCTCTTCCGATGACTGCTCATCCTCCTAATCCATTTCGTTTCCAGTCGCTTAACCACTTGTAAATAAATTCACATCAGCCATCCCCCCCATCCACATGTAGCTGTTGACCATATCTGCTACCTTGGAAAGAAATGGCGGCAAATTACTGGGTGTCAACCCAACGCCGGAACTGGCTTTTCGAACGAGATCAGCTGGCAGAGATTCGGAGATCCCTCGATGAAGGTGACAAGCAGAAACAGCTCATACAACAATTCCCGCTACCCGATCTAAGGTACTTCAGCATCTACATCAATCTACGTAAGA